GCCCCAGGGACCGGGCCCCCCCCCCCCAGTCCGGCTTGTGTACCTCACAGGTGCCATCTCGAGGACCCCTGGCGTAGGGTAGCAGGGAATGGGGAGCACAGAAGGGAGGCGATATGGGGAGCACAGTGCCCCCAGGCTGAGGAGAGCAAAGATGGGGGCCCCACAGAGCTCCTTTATTGAGGCCTTGGCAGTGGCAGAACGGGGTCCCCTGGCATGGAAGGAATGGGGGAGGGTAAGTGCCGGGGGGTCTAGGAAACCCTCAGTGGCCGAGGGGAAGGTGAGAGGAAGAAAATGGTCTGTAGCCAGTGTGAGCAAATGGCAAATTGGTTTTAAAGGAGCGGCCCTGGGGCCCAGCCCCCACCCCCCACCCAGCACCCTCAGTGGCTGGTTTCCATGGCGCCCATGGGCAGGGTTGGGGTGCTGGGCCCTCCGACCCACAGAAAAATCAGTCGGGAGCTGCACTGAGAAGCAAAAACCAAAGCAAACCCCTCCCTGAGGTGGCCCCCAACGGAGGAGAAAGACCCTCCCCACATTCCCCTCACGCACTAGCCCCCTGGGGGTCTAGACCAGCCCATTCTGTGTGCTCCGGCCCCACGGAGGAGTGGGGAGGGGCTGGGCACCAGCACAGGCTCCCCAGAGCTGCCCTGGGTCACTGACCCGCAGGGCAAACAGCCCCCAGGGGAGCAGGACTGGCGTTAACCCTCCAGGGCACTCAGGGGCGGCACCAGCCGACCTTGAGTCACTGCCCTCCGGCTGCTGGGGGTCTGTCCCGTGAGCTCTGCCGCAGGCTGGCTCCCACACCCGGGGAAATGAGAGAGCTGGATGGAGATATGGAGCAGGGCCACCGGTGTGAGCCCATGGATGCGGCAGGCACATGACAGGAGCCTTGACACAGGCCGGGTGGGACTCAAAGGGACTTTTTTTAATGTGTTCAATTGTGTTTAGACTGTTCTCAGCAGGTTACATTTCCCCAGCTTTGCCAAATACTAGGGCTGGTTTTTGGTTTGATGTGAATTTCTGCATCTAATACAAACATTCTCCTTTATGTATGTTTGTGCTCTAATAACATGGACACTGTAAGACGGTGGTCGCCAACCTCTTTAACCACAAGATCACTTTTTCGATATAAGTGCAACGTAAGATCTACCCCAAACCAATACCCTGGCCCCTCTTCCTTCTCACCCCTTCTTCGAGGCCCTTCCCCTGTTCCACCCCTTTTCGGAGGCCTCATCCTGATCACTCCATCCCCTACCGCCCCCATGCTCACTCACTTTCATCAGGCTGGGGTAGGGGGTTGGGGTACAGGCTCTGGTGTTGGGCCAAGGGGTTTGGAGTGCAGAATGTGCTCTGAGCTTAGCCCAGGATGAAGTATTGGGGTCCAGGAGGGCGTTTCAGGGTGCAAGCATATGGGTGCAGGAAGACTCATGTCTGAAGCAGGAGGTTGGGGGCAGGGGAGGTTCAGGGCTGGGAGAGGGGTTCAGGAAGCAGGCTCTGGCTGGGCCAGGTGGTGGAGCAGTGGGGTTAAGGCAGCTCGTGGCTATCCCAGCCCTGCCCTACTCCTGAAAGCAGGAGGCATGTACAGCAATGGCTCCATGGCACCATGTGCTGCCCCTCGTCTACAGGCACCGAGCCCACCCGGGGCGGCCTGTGAGCCTAGGCGAACTAGGCAGTTGCCTAGAGCGCCGCTACCCTGTGCACCCGATGATGACGTCATGGGGCGCCGGGGCACACCGTGATGATGTCACGGCCATTGACGGCTGAGCAGGCGGGGGCGCCCCCTGCCGCATCTGGCCTCGGGCCGCTCCTGGAGCCCACAGCTTCTACTGGCGACGGTTCCCCGTTACTGATCAATGGGAGCTGCAGGCAAGGACAGCATGTGAAGACTCCCTGCTCGGCCTCTCATAGGGAGCAGCAATTCCCACAGGGATAGTGACTCCAGCCACACCAGGGTAGGCATTTTAGAACTCACGAATCAAGGAAGTACATGGAAGCGTAAGAGAGAAATGAAAATTATAAAATGCACAGAGCAGTCACACACCCCAAATAACCCACTTTGCAAGCAGTAAAAGGAGTGACAACAACCCACAGATGTGCTGGGTTGAAAGTATTTGCGCAAGAAGCACTGATTTTGTACATTACAAAGTCAGTGCTCTTGCGCAAATTTAAGCGGTCAGTGTAGACAGCTGGCAAGTTTTTGTGCAAAAGCAACCGCTTTTGCGCAAAACCTTGCCAGCTGTCTACACTGGCCGCTTGAATTTGTGCAAGAGCACTGACTTTGTAATGTACGAAATCAGTGCTTCTTGTGCAAATACTTTCACGCTCCCACTCGGGAAAAAGCCCTCTTGCGCAAGAATACTTGCCCCGATGGCTAAAATGGTGATCGGGGCTTTCTTGCGCAAAATCGCGTCTAGACTGGCCATGGATGCTTTTGCGCAAAAGCACTTTTTGTGCAAAAACATCCGTGCCAATCTAGATGCGCTTTTGCGGAAATACTTTTAGCGGAAAAAAATTTCTGTTAAAAGTATTTCCGCAAAATCATGCCAGTCTAGATGCAACCAGAGTGTATGAGAGTGACAGAGATTTGCATTGCTAAGTTCCCTACATCCCCTTCTCTCTAGGTAGGGATAGGGTACAGGAGTTGGGGGAGGAGGGGCACTCTGACACCAGTGACCCCCTCTTCTCCTTCCCATACACTGCACAGCAAGCAGGAGGCTCCCGGGGTGGGGGGGGAGCTCCAAGGCAGAGGGCAGGAGGAGCATGACAGTAGGTGGAGGGGCAACTAAAGTGACCGTGCTTGAGAGCTTTCTGGCCAAACTAGTCAAGATCACTTGTCAGAGGCTCCAAGATCTACCAGTAGATCCCAATCAACCGGTTGGTGACCCCTGCTGGAAGAGCTACCACAGCCAAGCTTTGCATGGGATAACCTTTCCTCCAGGAGAAGGTTTTAAGGTACTTTTGGACCCGATTTTCCCCCCTCCCCCCGCACCTCTGCTCCAGGGGGCAGCTGCCCCACTCGCCTCTACTACCCCGTTCCATTGCCCAGGCGTGTCCATGGCGGGGGGGGCCCTCCTCCCTCCTCCCGTGATGTCAAATGGAATATATGTGGGGGCTGACCTTGCGCAGGACTTGAACCGCTGCTGCTGGGTTGGTTCTCGGGGTGGGGAAAGGGGGCAAGGAACCAGCCGGGGGGAGTTCTTTAAACAATCGTGCACAGGAAGCATGGCAGACACCCTGCCAAGAACATTGGGAGGAGCCTGAGACTAGTACACAACATTTCGGACAAGCAATTATCACAAGTACAGGCAGAAAACTGTCAATCAAGTATCTCATTTTCGCAACAGCCTGAATAGCAACATGTATCCCAAACATGAGCATAGCAGGTACCCTACCATCTTACTACAACGACCAAGTCTCACTTTGCTATCAAATGAGCTTAGTAAGACGAATGGATGGGAGAGAGGAAGCCAGTTCGACCCACACACCCTGCGTGGTAGACACTTTCACACCCAGTGCGGGGTGTTCCTACGGAGGGAATCAGAGACCACTACCTCCTTCCCGGTACTGTAGGGAGCCTACGGGTGCAGTGTAAGTGAACTAGGCTTAATTATTGTATTATAATAATCTAGTAATTGCTTTTGCACTGCTGGGCGCTGTGTTCATGGCTTTAGAATGGATCGGATTGATGGTTGAAATTGAACAGCCCTTGTTTGTAAGGCTTGTAAAATTTAACCAACTCTATCAACTGCTTAAAGCTCGCGGTGAATAGGAAAGTGGTGAAGTGTCTCTGGAGTGTCCTGGTTGCCCCGAGCCCCAGGGCAGTGCCCAGAGAGTTGGATTCCATCCCCTGCTCTGGGAGGAGAGTGTCTCCTAGGGGTTAGAGCACCACTAGGGTGCCACTTACCAAATGCTCCTCCAGAGTCGGGTTTGCCAGATGTGAAATCAGAGCCCCGTTCCACCAAGCTGCACCCGTCTCTCGTTTGAGTCTGTCCCAGATGGGCTGGGGCTGCCTTGCTTTCCCGATTTATAAGCCAGTGGCTGTGATGTAACGTAGAAGACTTAAACGGAATTGAGCTCAGCTCCAAAATAGAGTCTGTAACATTCTGTTCCTCTCTCCGGCCCCGCCCTGCTTCCAAGCCTCTGTGCGCCCTGGCACGTCCCCAGGCCTTTCTGCCGGGAATTCCAGGAAAGCGAGACTCTTTTAACCCTTTGCCTGCTCTCGGCTCCAGGGACTCCATGGAAAGGCAGTGGGTGAGCTCCCCAGGCCCCTGCCGCGAGGGGTGAGCGGGGTGCTTAGCGGGAAGCAGAGGACTCAGCCCCAAACGCTCCGGGACTGGAAGTGACGCCAGGGCTCCCAGACTCCGCTCCCGTCCCCAGCTGGGCTGCACCCGCGCAGTGGAGCCCCAGTGTCCAGGAGCGCGGGACGTGCCCGTGGGGGCACTAATGGGAAATTCTGTGCTGAGCTTGCTGGAATCAGCCCGGCCTTGGGGTCCCCTCGGGGGTGTCACTCCCAGCCCGGGCTGCCACGCTCAGGGCTACTGCAGGGGGCCCAGCATGTGCAGGGTGGGCGTGGAACCAGCAGGGGGCGGTCTGGTTGAGGAGCGAAGTGTCAGCAGGAGGAGCCTGCAGAGGGTGGGAAGCAGGATCCCGTGGAGGCTGGGGCGCATCTGGCCTTGGAGAGATCTCCAGGGATCCCTGAGAAGGCCTCATACAGCTGGGGGAGGCCTCAGGAGGTCACCACGTTCAGCCGCCGGCCAAACCCCGACTCAATCAGCCCAGCCAGGGCTTTGTCCAGCTGGGGCCTAAACACCCCTAGGGATGGAGATTCCACCCCCTCCCTAAGGAACCCCGCCCAGCGCTTCCCCTCCTGCCTAGGGAAATTGTCAGTAACCAGGGCTGAGTTACTACTTGCTCTCAGCCAGCTCACAGCCAGAGAGCTGCCCTGGGGGGTGGGCGTGCTCACTTCAATTGGTTAGCTCTGCAAGATAATGAACTGTAAATACAACTCCTGCCAGGAGGGGGAGGGAATCCAAGATGCGGCTATGCAAATCCAATTCAGCCAGGGCTGATGGAGGGTCAGTGCTGCCATGGAATGGGGGGTATTGTAACTAATTTGGGGCTGTGGTGGGGGTCACAAATCATACTGTCCCTGAATGTGGGAATATGACCCCCGTGCTTGCAGGAGAGACACCAGCACTGGAAGAGGTCTCCGAGGAACAAGCTGCCCCCGGCCAGCAGGGCTGCACATGCATGGGGCCCCAGGTGGGGGGGGCATGCATGCGCCGTGCTCCCGATGCATGCGTCGCTTCCCTGGGTGCCTGCCAGAGTTGATTGAACTGAGTTGGTGGAGAGGGATTGAGCAGCCTGCTAGGTGTGAGCTGCAACACTGGCTCAATCTACCCCCTTCCCCTAGTTTTAAGGACAGACCTAAAGCAGACTGCATGGCTATGTCCACACTGGCGCGATCTTGCGCAAAAACTTGCTGCCTGTCTATGCTGGCCGGGTGTTCTTGCACAAGGAAACTGCCTTTCTAGGTCGTGTCCACACTGGCGCGATCTTGTGCCGGAAATATGCAAATGAGGCTGTGTGGACTATCGCTGAGCCTCATTTGCATATCTAACGAGCTGCCATTTTTGCAGGAGAGGCTCTTGCGCCAGAAGGAGCTGTCTACACTGCCCCTTCTTGCGCAATGCCGTTATTCCCCAAAATAATCAGCGTAACGGCATTACGGCAGAACGGGGCCCTGATTTCACACCCAGCAAACCTGACTCTAAGGAGCATTTGATAAATGGCACCCTAGCAGTGCTCTAACCACTAGGACGCACTCTTCTCCCAGAGCAGGGGGTGGAATCCAACTCTTGAGCATCAAGCCCCCTTAATCTCCCCTCTAAATCTGAGATGGAGGCCAAAGCGAGGCAGAGAACCCAGATGTCCTGGCTCCCAGCCCTCCCCCCGCCCAGAGCTAACCAGTAAACCCCTCCACTTCCAGTGAGAGACTCAGGAGTCAACAACCTGCAGCTCTAACCACTAGACCCTTCCCTCTGAGCAGATGAGAGAACCCAGCAGTCCTGGCTCCCAGCCCCTCTCCGTCACCCTGTGAATGTTAATGAAGGCCAGAGCTTCCCAGATAATGTGGGGAAACTGAGGCAGCTGCAGAGAACTAGCAATGCTGTGAAACCCACATTCCAGTGAGAGACTCAGGAGTCAACAACCTGCAGCTCTAACCACTAGACCCTTCCCTCTGAGCAGATGAGAGAACCCAGCAGTCCTGGCTCCCAGCCCCTCTCCGTCACCCTGTGAATGTTAATGAAGGCCAGAGCTTCCCAGATAATGTGGGGAAACTGAGGCAGCTGCAGAGAACTAGCAATGCTGTGAAACCCACATGGGAGGGCGGCTCCTCGGATCCTGCTGGGCCTGGACTTTGACCTTCCTCTGGGTCTGTAACGTTCCACAGTTCAACCTCCTCTGTACCGAGGAGTAACGGTAGTTCCAATTAGAGAGCCTAATTCGAGCTACCTCCTCCGTGCCACATGTAGCCACGGGCACGGAGTCCGCACTAAGGGGGATTTAAAAATGGCGGCGCCTGGCAAGATGCAAATGAAGCCAGGGATATTTAAATCCCGGGCTTCATTTGCAACTTCGAATGCCTACATTAGCCTCCCTAGTTCGAACTAGGGTGGTAGTGTAGACAGACCCCTGGATGAAGGAGGTAACCTAGTGACAGTTGATGTGGAGAAAGCTGAAGTACTCAATGCTTTCTTTGCCTCTGTCTTCACGGACAAGGTCAGCTCCTGGACTAATACGCTAAGTGACGCAAGATGGGATGAAAAGGGACAGCCCTTGGTGAGTAAAGAACAGGTTAGGAACCATCCCACCTTCCATTGACACCGACGGCTGACCTGCGACAGACCCTGGCGCCCCGCATCTAGGAGGGAAATTTCTCCCCCCAGCTCTGGCTGCTGTTGGTCCCGGGCAGCAGGAGTAACCCTGAGCAGGTGGGGAAGGTACCAACTCCCTGTGGTGTGAGGAGCAAAACCCACCTCCCTGGGAGAGAGGGGTCAGCAAAATTCCCCACCCTCTCTGAGAAGGTGGAGTGACTGTGCAGCATCCCCAGGCTCCAGGGCGGGGGCACACGGAGAACTCGGCCCTGGAGAGAGGTGGGTTTGCCCGGCCTGGGCCCTGGGATCCCTCCGCTGTTAAAAGCGGCGCGTGCTGGGGAGCCTCTCTGCAGGCAGCTGGATGCTGTGAGGTGCGGCCCGGTTGCAGCGCAGAGACGGGGGGTTCCCGGCCCTCCAGGCAGCACGGGGGCCTTGTAGGGAAGGCTGGGACCAGCCCCAGCCTGCACAGAACCAGCCAACACAACAGGGTCTGAATTGTTACTTTGTGCCGCTTGTTTTCTCTCCCTCTTGTTTTGGACTCGTGGGTGGATCGTTCTGCATTCCAGAAGCAGCCGCGTCTCACGCAGCCGCTTCCTGGTGGGCCCCTCTGAGGGGGAGGGCTAGCTCAGTGCTTTGAGCAGTGGCCTGCTAAACCCAGTGTTGTGAGTTCAATCCTTGAGGAGGCCATGTAGGGATTTGGGGCAAATATTTGTCAGGGATGGTACTTGGCCCTGCTATGAAAGCAGGGGACTGGACTCAATGACCTTTCAAGGTCCCTTCCATTTCTAGGAGATAGGTAATCTCCATTCATTTAAATGTGTCCCTCTCCGCTCTGGGGGGCACAGCAAACATCCCAGCATGGAGGGGTCTGCGGCACCGGTACCCCAGGGCTGGGGCAAGTGGCTGTATTTGTCAGGGATGGTACTTGGCCCTGCTATGAAAGCAGGGGACTGGACTCAATGACCTTTCAAGGTCCCTTCCATTTCTAGGAGATAGGTAATCTCCATTCATTTAAATGTGTCCCTCTCCGCTCTGGGGGGCACAGCAAACATCCCAGCATGGAGGGGTCTGCGGCACCGGTACCCCAGGGCTGGGGCAAGTGGCTGTAGCCCCACCCAACCCCACGGGCCGGCCCTGGGCTGCGGCTGCCTCCCTCCTGCTCTCAGCTCAGCCCACCTGTGTTTGATCCCCGGCTGGAGAATTATCATCAGGAACTCTCCTCCCAGTCCTGCTGCTGCTTCCCCATCACCACGATGGCTTCTCCTGCCGTCTGGCTCCTCTCTGCCCTCCTGGGGACAGGTGAGAGGGGCAGGGGCTGGTTTCCTGACGTGGCCCATGTCACACAAGCTCTGAATGGGCCTGTTCCCTGCAACCGTTTATAGGCGCTGCCAATTCACCGGGGCCAAATGGGAGTGTCGGAGTGAAGGGAGGTAGGGGGAGGTGGCCGGAAGCCACAAGTTTCCATAATAACTTGGGAAACACTTGTGGAAAGGGGAGGAGATGCTGAGGGTCGACACGAGTGGGAAGTGGGGGCCGTGGGGGCCCGTCCGGTCTGGCCAAACAATGTCCCGCTATTGCATATAATACAACAAAATTAAAAACCTCTGTGAGGGGGCACAAAGACGCTGCCGCTGGGTCGGAGCCCCGGAAGCCACAAGTTTCCATAATAACTTGGGAAACACTTGTGGAAAGGGGAGGAGATGCTGAGGGTCGACACGAGTGGGAAGTGGGGGCCGTGGGGGCCCGTCCGGTCTGGCCAAACAATGTCCCGCTATTGCATATAATACAACAAAATTAAAAACCTCTGTGAGGGGGCACAAAGACGCTGCCGCTGGGTCGGAGCCGCGGCCGAGCAGCGCAGCCAGCCCACCCTGCGCACGCTCGAGCTGGGTGCTGGGCGTTTCAAACAGCGGCAGGAGGGAGATGCCAGATCGCCCGCTCGCCCGACGGAGGACGGGCCGTCCTGCCCTAACTTGCCACAGCCAAGCAGGTCACGAGCGGCCTCGAAGGGGCCGAGCACGGAGGAGGGTCGGGGGGTCAAGCACTGGCCCCTAGAGGCACCCCGTCTGCCCAGATGCTGGGAGGACTCCCGGAGGCAGCCAGCTGTGACTGGCCGGGGACAGAGCGGCCCCGGGAAGATGCCGCGAGCGGTGAGTCCAGGCGCAGGTAGGAAGAGGCCCAGGGCGGGCCTAAGCCCTGAGTGGTTGGCGGGTTTCGGGGATTGCCTCTGCCAGCTGGGTAG